AGATGGACTAGGAGATCCATCTTGAAGATTAAGGATGATAAAATCTGATATAGATCAATTGGAATAAGATCCTAAATTCATAATGTTGTTCAGGCAAAATGCCAGCACTCCAGACCTAGAAATAATAAGGAAGAGCTTTGTTGTACATTTTATCAAACACCTTATGTGTAGCTTCAATTACTAAAGAGAATAGTGAAAAAGGATGTAGTAAAGACTCCACAAGAAATGTCTTCGCTGATGCAGCAGGACAACCGAACAAAGCAGCACAAAAGTTGAACATATTAAAACTGAGTTCTATGACGGAAGTGAGGAGAATTCCTCCAACGATAGGAACAAGAGAAACACAAAATCAGGGCATGAAACCAGGTAAAGTAGATTGTTTTATCTCCGACGATGCCTGCAAGGAATTCGCCATGCTCCGCCGAGCACTCGATGAAGTGAATACCCAATTGCAGACCAAGTTCAGCCAGGAACCAAAACCCATGACTGGGAGTATTACAGAAAAGGGATTGACTTTTGCTTGCTTGATACGTATAACCAATCATATGATGAAGTCTTGAAGATTGAAAAACAAAGATAAGGGAATTGAATTCCTCCAGACCAACAGAGACTAATTTATGTTGGGAAACAACTTGAGAGTGGCCGAATTTGCAGCCATGGATGGAAGTACATCGGCAAAATCTTGAAGAACTGGAATGTAACATGTACGTCCAGTTGTTTGCAAGAATAAGAATTGAAGAATCTTCAAAAAACCAAGAATGATTCCATTAGAAATCTGGAAAATGAAAAACAGCAGCAAAAAACTTATCTTTGCTCTGATACCATGTTAAATTCTTGAATGAAAACAATATGAAAGGCTTCATCATTGAAGCAAGAAACAATATTGAATTGAACTCCATAAAAGGAGGAAACCAATACAAATGGAACTGGACTAAGTTCCATATAAAAGACACTCCATTGTAGGAGGAGAAGAAACCTCCATAAGGAGGGATTGGAGAGAAACTACAATCCGATGATCTAAAAGCTATACAAGGTCTAGTATTTATAGA